AGAACGAGGTTGGCCTTCACGGTGCTGATCTCGAGAATGGCCTTCGCGATAGGAGGAACGGCGATCTCGACGGTTGTAGGTTGAGCTGTCCCAAGAAGCATTGTCGTGCCAATGTCGGCGAGCATGATCTCGTGAGGCATGCTCGGTGGTCTCGTGGTGGCTGGTTGTTGCTCGAGAGTCGTCTGGAGGTGGGTCTGAAGGTGCTGGTGTGTCAGCGGTAGGGTCAGGTCGTGCTGGACGTTCATGATCAGCTGGCGGTTCAGTTGGTGCTGCGGCAGTGGGTGGGTTTGTCTCCGCTGCCTGGTGTGTGATCAAGCCCGGGTAAACCGAATGAGTAGAGGCAACATAGCATATTGATGCGGCGCTGGAGTTCATAGCCGTTGCATTGTCTTTGCCCTTGGCGATGCCCGATAGGTTGCACAAGCGTTGAATTTGGTCATTTCCTCCAGATAGGGCCCGTATGCATTTAGGAGAGCGACAAATGGCCAATAGGCCAGATGGGTTTTGTCCTTTCCCTATGCGGTAGAGCTGAGATGTACATATCTTGACAGCATAGCCCGGTAGGGTATCGATGTCAGGAATCTCCGAGGACATGCCGAAGAACCCGTAGCATGGGTATTGAGTCGGATAGCCGGCTTCGTTTTTTGTCCAAGCTGCCGGGCGAATGCAATCTTCCGCGAGGATCTTGGCAACTGTTTCCCAACTCGTTTTGTGGTAAATCAGGTAGGTGCCCATGTGCTCGCCACGATAGATCGGTTTCTTGGGCAATCCCGTTGGGACCGTGATGGTCAGCAGGTTCTCTGGCTCGATGTAAAACGCTTTGGTTTGCTTCGCCAGCTCGATGTCCAGTAAGCTGGATTGTGCAAAGGCCCTGGCAATGTTCTTGACGGTGGCTTGGCTTGCTTTGATATAAATAAGTTGGTTGTTGACGGTGCGATATGGTTGAGCCAACTGGTGGAACATCTCGTCAACGAACTGGTTGAAGAGCTGCATGTTGCACTGGTTCAATGATTGGCGTAGGGGTGCTGTATGGTCGGGGTCGAGCTCGGTCAAGCAACGTACCCTGAGTGGATCATTGGCAGCCTCAACCATTTCACTGAGGTCGATGTCATTCGTGTCAAATTTTGAGATCGAAATTGCATCTGTCACCTCAGAGTTTTCGCTGTCGCCGTCAGGGACGCGGAAGGCCACGGCTCCAAGTGGTGCTGTGGTGTGGGATGGTGGGTTGGTAGATGGTTCAGGTGGTGGTGGACCGGCGGGAGAGTTGGGTCGAGTAGTGCTGTGATGGTAGTCGTCGGTGTAGTGACTGTTGTTCCATTCGCCCCAGGTGTCATCAGCATCAGGTGTGGGGATGTAGGCCGGATTTGATGGGCGTGCAGCTGGTCGTAGTACGACTTCGCGGCCTCTGGAGCGACGACGAGGCGTCTTGGAACGTGGTCTGGGGTGAGATCGATGACGTCGAGGAACCACGGGAGAGCGGCGTCTTGGCGGTGATCGTCGTCTGTATGGAGAAGGAGTTCTGCGGTCCTTGTCGTGTTTCGTGGATGACCGAAATCGAGGAAGGGGAGAACGAGGTCGTACAGCACGGCGAGGAGAATGTCGACGATGATGTGGTTGTGCCGAGGGTCGACGGGGGCGTGATCTTGGAGTCCTGGATCGTGGTCTGTGCGTTGGCGATGTTGGAGCATGTAGGTGGTGAGGAAGAGAAGTGGCTGGAACTGAGATGATGCGATGGTCCGGAACTTCAGGTTCGGTGGGTCTTGCTTTCGGTGCAGGTGGGGGCATGGCAGTAGGTGGTGGTGCTGCTGTAGGTAATGGTGTAGGCGGTGTGGGGTCCAGTGTAGGTACTTCGCGGTGGAGGAGTAGCTGACGTTGTTCTTGGGCGCGTTGAGAATCCAGAATCATTTGTTGTTGAGCTTGAATAAGACGGACCGATTCCGCAAGTTGTTGTGTAGTGGAGCCCAGCGCTGCTAGTTCCGGCGAAATGGATGGAGACGGTGCTGCCGTTGGTGCCGGTGGTGTAGCAGGGAGAGAGGCTTTCGGAGCTGACCGACGTGGTTTGTCTGGTTTCTTGTCGGAGCGAAGCTTTGGGGCAGCCTTAACTGCTGGTGGTGGAGGTTCATCTGGAGGGACCATAGATGCTTCCGTCAATAGTGGAGGGTGAGGGTGGTGAGGTGGGTATGGAGAGCTCTGCAAAGGTGTCGGTGGAGTAGTCGATGTAGGCGATGAAGCCGGAGCAGAATGCCATGCGGGTGGAGCGATGGGTGCCGGAGGAGTAGTGAAAGTCGGTGGAGCGGTGTGCACCAGAGTGGTTTCAGGAGCCAAAGGTGTGGGCATTGTAGGCACGAGTTGTGGGCCTGGTACCGCATGAGGAGTCGAAGTCAATGGGGTAAATGGCAACGATGTTGTGACTGATGCAGACGGCACGAGCGAAGATGATGAAGACCATGTAGGATGCAATGGCGAAGGATGTCCAAATAAATGTGCGTTCTGCGGTGATTGCGGCCACGTCGAGGATGGATTCGTAGGCTGCCGTGGGGCAGGCCATGACGTCGGAGGAGAAGTCCACGGGTACATTGCTCAAGTAAAAAGAACTACAATGGAAAATCACACACCAGGATGTACCACAGGATTCAGTTCCTAACCTACAAGTCGTGCGTTGCGCCAATCCAGGCCCGTGTTCCAGTCAGCCACGAGGGCATAAAACGGCTATCAAATTCCAACGAATTAGATGCACAATATGTTTCACCTCACCAAATACCAAAGAGACCACACCTGCAGGAAAAGGACATGCCTGTTGCCTTTTGTCGTGAATGTCATGTTGAACTTCAAATGCGCAAGCTGCAGTGATAAAAGGACGTTTCTGGTAGTTCGAAGCAGCTTCACTTGAAAGAGCAGATCACTGGGATCCCTGGGACATCCGGAGCCGCGGGACATTCTACAAGGCTGATAAACCGCAAGGCTGATTGTTGCCCTTTACTTAAACGAATTACTAAGTTAAAATGTGTGAATTCAGAATTCAAGACTGTCGACACTCACCCTGAAGAGGGTTGCCTCAAATGGCTCCATGGCACCATGTCGGAGCCACCATGGAAATCACACTAGACAAGAATGGATCATTATATGATCCGGCAGGAACTGAATCCTGAAACATGCAGATTAGATACGAACCAACGAAATTAACGAAGCATCCTACGAATAATAGAAGTTCTCCTGAATGGTTTCCGTGTCCAAGATCGTCATCAAAAATTATAGATCGGCGACGTGGTTTTGACAAAATAATCCAAATACATCGGCGACATGGTTCGGCGAGATAATCCAAAAAAATCAAAATACTGTCGGCGACATGGTTTCGGCGAAAGTACTGAGGGAGGTTCTGATGCAGCTAAACTAATCATAAATGGCCAAATTTGATTCCAGATTGCGACAACAGTGCAGCAAATTGTATAACATTGTTGTTGGGGTTCTGAGCTTGGCCCCTTGCTATGTCCGAAAAAAGCGTGTTGCAGGTACGTCACCAGGCGTCCCTGGTGATATCCTAGGATCATATGAGGAGCTTCGTTGGATGGAGCCTCATATGTCCTCTCCATCCCCCTGCAAATGTGAGAAGATTAGAACAAAAGAAGTTTTACATCTGTTCAGATGTTACACACACACACGCGTATGTATGTATGTATGTATGTATGTATGTATGTATGTGTGTGTGTGTATGTATGTATGTATGTATGGATGGATGGATGGATGGATGGATGGATGGATGGATGGATGGATGTGTGTGTGTAAGTATGTAAGTATGTATGTAAGTATATCCTATCCTATCCTATCCTATCCTATCCATCCATCCATCCATCTATCTATCTATCTATCTTATCTATTTATCTATCTATCTATCTAATAATCTATCTGTCTGCGTATGTATTAAATGATATTATATGTTTTTATGATGTTATATTATAGTATATTTTATTTAACTATATGATATGATATTATAATATATTATATTTATATTGTATTCAGTTATTTCAAATATTATCTTATATTATATTATATTACATATAATATTACATATTATATTACATATTTTATTATATATTAAATTATATATTATATTATATATTAAATTATATATTATATTATATATTAAATTATATATTATTATATATATTATATTATATTTTATATTATATTATATCATATCATATTATATTATATTATATATTACATTTTATATTATATTATATTTTATTATTTTACATTTTATATAATATTATATTATATTATATTATATATATTATTATATATTAAATTATATATTATATATTATATATTATATATTATATATTATATATTATATATAATATATTTTATAATATATATTATATATTATATATTATATAGTATATATTATATATTATATATTATATATATATTATATTGCATTATATTATCTACTATATTATATATTAAGAATTATCCATTATATATTATATATTAAAATATTATATTATATTTTTCATTAAATTATATAGTTTATAATATATTGTATATTATTATATTAAATTTATATATATATGAGTGTGTGTGTGTATTTATTTATTTATATTTATTTGTATATATCAAATATGTGCATCTAGAGATTACGTTAATCTGCAAGCAGATAAATCCAAATATGCGAAGAAAGGCGCCAAAGAGCAGAGTAATAGGACACTCCGGGCGAGCAGGTGGACAAGAAGCCTATGAGCACTGCCTCAAATATGGGCACGAATTTGAGCCGCGCAAAGCAATTCACGAACTTCATACCAAACAATGTGAGGATCCGCAACGTTGCGGTTTACTTTGTTTTTCTAATTCCGGCGAAGTTATGTTGAGATTGTTGAATATTGTGTTCATTTCTGAACCAATTTGAATCAGGTCACTCGCCAATGGTCTTTCAATCGCCTCAGCTCGTTGGTGAGGGAGGCACAGACCCAGCTGTAACACCTGTTGAACCGCCAGAAAAACTAAGCAACAAGCGGCCTTTGCCGTGCGCAATCTTTTGCAATTGACTGGCTGTTCATGTGGTCCTGGGCTAAGAGCTGTCTCTATATTGGCTGACTATACCCTGTAGATACCTGGGGGGGCCTTCATGGAAGTCATCCATACATTGTACATGTTTTGACCTAAAGGAGGAAAAGAATGCCAACCCTAAATTTGAACCTTCCCAGCGGCACAGCCGGAAAGAGATAAGGCCAAATGCCAAAGCCATGACACAAAACCAAGAAAAACAAGAAAAATGGAAAACACCTCATCAAAAGGATGGATGACAAAAAACATGTATTCATGATTCATGATACATTTATGCTGCGCATTGGTTTCATGCACACAGGTGATACGAATACATGAGCCTCAATATCATGTTCATCCGCTTCAATCGGAGGCTGCTCCTCACATCGTTCCATCACCAAACGGGCAAAGTCGGTAGATTCTGCGAGTTTGCTCCGACCCCATAAGGCAATACTTCCTGCGAAAGCATTGCAAGCGAATCTGATCTCCAATTTCTGCACAATGATTTCGTTTGCTTGATTACCCCACTGTCGCTCCTGGCAGAACACTAGATGTCATCAAGGATCTTGAGCCGGCGGATGCCGGTGGTAATACCAGTGCGTCATATCAAAGCAAAAAAACAAATCCGGCAACACATTGACATGAGTGTTGGGTCACTCATTGAGTGGTTTCGACACCATGTCACTTTTATCTGCCGGAAGTGGCGCCTGGCACCAGAGACACCAGGAAAGGAATTCGCCAGCCCCACATGACCATCCCCTGACGCAAGCCGCGCAATAAGTTATTCATCACATCATGTCAAGCCAAGTCGCCGTGATAAACTTTCACAATCAATAATCATTGGTCAATAACCAACATCATTAATGTGTCGAACTTTCACAACCGCCTCTGGTCCCACCACGTGGACGACCAACACGACCAACAGGTTGGCAGATAAGAAGCCGAGCCCTGCGGACGAGTGAAGAAGGCCTGTGGCCGCAAGAATCCTGAGTTCTTTGCCCAACAAACACCGGGACGATCCTATTGCAATACTGTTACTTAGTCAGAACCCCGCTGACGGCGCAGCGGTCAGACGGCTCCTTTTCACAGCTGAGTGGACGCAATCACATGTGGATCAAATGGGGGCCATGCTGTCACCATGGCTATGCACCTTGGGAAATTCACACCCATCCTTGATTGTCGCACTCTTCCTAGCATGCCGTGCTGCTCTATTGCTGGCCTTCTTGGCCTGGGCTGCAGCATGTGGTTCCTACTGCCAGATTCCATCATGGAGTGCGGTCAGAATTGGTTCGCGCTCACATCCTGTCTTTGTCAGGACGTCTGCCAGCATTTGACAGGTATCTACCCAGTCAGCAAAAGCAGGGTCATCATCATCATGATCATCCTCATCATCATCACCATCATCATCATCATAGTTCTCGCCCAAGAGCCCCTTGACATGAGCAATCAAGATTCGAACTCTTTTGTCAGTTGGCTGTCCAGCGTCCTTGTTCAAAGTGCTCTGCTGGCTGCGAACATCAGTCATGCAAATGACCTTGCCCGTGGAAAACTATTTTTCCAATGCGTGGAACTTTTCATTGGGGTGCTGAAGCTCAAGCAAAACAGAACGAACGTATTCACCAGCCTCCACTCCAGTGAGAAACCCATTCAATTCAACTACCAAAGTCCTTCGGCAAACTCGACCGACCCAGAATATGTTTCCATCACAAAAATTGGAGTTGGGGTTCCCTCTTTGATCTTTGGACTTGTCAAAGCGACCACAAAACCACACTGTGATTTCAACCCTTCTGTGTCTGCAAAACTGCTATCAGCAAAAACACAAACCACAACGTCCTCCAGCTTGAGTTCAGCCGTGAACACAAAGCACCAGGTGGCATCAGCTGACTCTTTCAACATCTTAACGGCCTTGTTGAGGTGGAACGAATCTTTGATCTTTGGTGAACCCATGCTCTACGCAGCAACGCTCACATTCATCATCAAATCAGGCCATGCCTGCCGGGTGACCCAACGAATCTGACCGATGAGAGCTCGGAAGTTGCTGATCCCTTCCGGGGTCAAAGGGGCATTGACCATCTTACGGCGGTCTTTGGAAAGCGGCATGTAATCGACGCCAACTGGCCCAGCTGGATGGTGAAATCATCCATCTGTTTGATGTTCTTACCACAAAAACGAAACTCATGGTGCTGGATCTTCAGATCTTTCATCATGTTGAGGTGTTCTCATAGACTTTGCCCTCGCCAGCACAAAACAAATCATCCACATGTGTGATCAGAACCCCGCAAAGCTTGGAGTCGATCACTAAAAGAAACATTGCAGCTTCAACTTGTGACATGCGCCAACCATACTTCCTCAGGGTTTTGAAAAGCTTTTGCCACCAAGATCTCCCAGCATCGTTGGTGCCGTAGATGGAGCCACGAGCTCGGAGAAGATCATAAGGGCTGATACCCGGTGGTGGTGGCCTTGGTGTCCGCAAAAGGAGTCTGCTGATCCCCTGAGATTGAAGGTATGCTGTCGAGGCATCACATGCAGAAACAAACCATTGAAACATCACCGCAATGGAGCAAACAAGGTTGAAGGCTAGGAGAGAAGCTGTGGGACTGTCAGGGCGAATTGCTTGTGGGTCTTCTTGACATCCTTGAACAACCAAGCGGCTTTTAGTCTGAAAGGGAATCTCCTTTCGGATCTGGCTTTCGGTCTTGCCAGCGCGCTTGGAAAGGTACTTGGCCATGAGCCTCGGCTTGCTGTTCTTGCCGACAATCTGCGCATCGTCAGGCAAATCTGCAATTTGCTCTTTGGTTAGGGCTTCAACACCTCCAAACTTCTTCCATGAATCCCGTTCTTTCTGCATAGAAACCTCAAACTGTCCTCTTCGGTCAAATTCTTGAGTGAAACCGAAGAGGCTGCCTTGCCAGTCAAGAAAACATAGGCAGGCTGCATGCCGAGGTAAAAGTCCTTGATGTTGTCATCCTCAGTCTCAGCCTCGCACTCGCCCACAAGTCGTTTCAAGTGACGAAGGCGCACTTCATGAGGCAAATCAGGGCAATCCTAGGGATCTTCATCCACAAAATAAGGATGAATTGTTTCATGCTGAGGGGCGCGTGATGGAGCATTGCCGTGACCATCAAGTCGGTCTGGAGTCAACATGGCACGGTTCAAGGCTCCCGTCGGCTGATTGCGCTGGTTGATGTGCATGGCAAGGTTCAAAGTTCAAAGCATCATCGTCAACTTGAACTGGTTGATGTTGGGCAGTTGGAACAGGTGCGGCTTTACCTGGCATTCTTGAGACCTGTGGTGTTGAAGAAGGAATTGGTGCCGGCTCCGGCTCTTGCATATCATCATAGCCCGTCCTCAGATCTGACGGTTGAAAATCCATTCCGTCATCTTCAGGGATCTGAGCAAGTCCAGATGGTCTTGATGAGCTTGACGTCTCAGGTCCAGCAGCTGATGGGCTAAACTGAAGGCTTGGTCTGTCAATTGGTTCGTCACCTTGGTCTTGGTCAGGAGGTTGATCAGGCTGATCATGAGTGAGTGGGAACTGCAGCATGCCCACACAAGTCCACATAGCTTCGGGCACCTTGGTGTATCCAGGCTGCAGTATCTCATCAGCGAGCAGATGGGCCGCCAAGAGCTGATCCTCGCTTGCAAGACGCAATTTTTCTCCAGTGACCAAAACAACTGATGGACCATATCAAAGCCAGTAGGCATGAGGTTGCCCACCTTCAGTCGCCGGATCTTGGTCTTCAGATCGTCGCTGATTGCGACCTTCAATGCCAATGACCCGAGATGGGCCGAACCATTTGTACTTTCGGTTTGAGCCAACTGCAGCAGGTGGTGCTTGGATGCGATAGAAGTAGACATAGCTTCCAATGGGATATGGTCCCCTTGTTGGAGTTGATTGATGCAGCAGAGCTCGACGAACTCGTGAGTCACTGTCAAGCCTGATCTGTGCAACTCGAGCGCTTTATCTGATTCCCAGGGATCGTGCAAAAGCAGAGTCAGGACCCTGGGCAGCTTCAAGAAGTTCTAAGCGCTGAGCTTCATCATCATCCAACGTAGTGACCCAGGGATTCTAATCTCGGAGATTCCAAGAACCCACTGGCATGGTGAATACCCATTGGGCCGTGGAAAAGAGTTGCGCACCTGAGAAACTATGGCGCTTGCCAACAGCATGTCTTCCAGGCCTTGCAGCTGCATCTCACGCACTGTCTTGTGCAAAATCTCCTTCCAACGATCACCTGCACGCTCAACTTTTCCTTGTTGCCATGGTGCTTCAAGAGCAACGGTTTCTTGTTCGACGCCATACTGCTTCAAAAAGTCGCTGAAGTAGGCAAGGTACTCCTTTCCTCTGTCGACTTGGATGGAGTGAGGAAGCCCTGCCTATGAACTCCAGCATGTCAGAAAATGTCTCAAAACGCCTTCGAAGCAGGAGGGCCTTGAGCTTGACCAGGCATGAAACAACTTGATGGCCAGTCGCCTCGCAGATGATGTTGAGGAAGGAAAAGTTGGTGTTGACAGTGTTGACGATGTCCTTGGCATAGAACACGTCAATCTGCAAATGGTGGTTGAAAACATAGCAGCTTGGAAGCTTCACAGGCTCTGGCCTTCGGCGCTTGATGCTATCACCACAGGAATCGCAGCTCAACAGGTCAGCGCCGTAGACGGCTTCAGCAGTCGCACCTTGCCTCCTCAAAATTCGTTGCTAGGTGGTATTTGTTTGGTGTCCGAACTGGACATGTAGATCTCGAAGGATCTTCCGCAGCTCAGGTCTCCGTCGCCTCTCAGCCTCGGTGATGTTGAGGAGTGGATCCAGTTCAGCAACCTGTGACGCCCGAATGGAGGCATCGCCAAGATGTTGTTGGAGGTTGGCCTTCGCCGGGTCGAACTTCGGCAAGAAAGGCATCAACCACACCTTGAGCTGAAGTAGACTCAGCAGAGCCTTGCTGAAGCATTGCTTGAATCACCGAGTGGTTGAGCTTGTATGGCCAAACGGAAGTTCTGGAACCAAAACGGTTGTTGCCCTCCAAGGGTTGGTGCTTGTGCTCGCAAATGCAGTCTTTGAAGACGGTCTCGGCAGTCAGCAAGGAAGTGATGTACACTGATGGCTTGTAGTGAGGAAGTCCACTTTCTTGATCTTGATATCCAACTTGGCATCCGTCAACACGGATCACAGTCAAGGCTCCTTGCCGTATCCAGTCCACAACTTCGGCAAGTTCATCTTTCATGAGCAATTGTGAGCTAAGTGGTTGTTCAACAAAAACATAGCTCTTTGCCTTGATGCGACCAGTGATGATCTTGCTGACACGACGCAGGATGGGACGTCCTGCTTCCCGAAGCTCAAGCACTGTCAGGGCTGACTTGCCACCCTTGGAGATGTTGAATCGGGACCAATTTCCCCATGGACCACAGGGCTGAGTGATGGCGGTGAGAAATGGGTCTTCGACTTGCAGATCATGGCAAACTCGGCGATAGCCTTTGTTGCTGGCCACATCCCAATCAGAACTGCTTGAACCCAAGGGGATGCCAATGGTAAGTCCAATGATGATGGCCATCAAAGAAAAGCCCATCTGGCCGGCAAAAAGCTGTTTGAGCCAAGTCTTGCCGTAGGGAGCTTCTTGGTGACCTTCTTGAAATTGCCGGAAAAGACTTTCTGGCGATGCCAATCTTCGCCATGCACGGCACGTTGCCATTCTTCAAACTTCTTGTCCTTCGGTGGTCTACTCATCGGGATGGTCTTGGATGTCGGAGACATCCTCACAGCAGAAACCTTGTTCTCGTGGATCTCGGTGGCTGAGGAATGTTGGAATCTCGCCCATTTCACGCTCATAGTTGCATCACATCATCAGAGTTTCGGCCATCCAGATCAAGGAGATGGACCTGGTCAGGATCGAAGTGGTTGAGCAGAGTGCTCTTCAACCTGATGTGTCGGTGACTCATAGTCATCCAGGGCATTCACATCGAAGAACAGTGGGCTAATAGCCAAATGCCCTTTTGAGGTCTTGATCAGTTTGAGGGTGACGCCGATCTTCTTGAAAGTCACCTCGCCAGATCCAGTGTCGATCACAGTCTCAAGTTGTTCCAAAAAGGGACGTGACAGAAGCAAAGGAAGTCCACAAGGTGCTTCTGCACTGCGAAGTTCGCCATTGACCCCACCAATTCCAATGGGGAACGCTTTGACCGTGTCACTGGCGATCTCACCACCAACTCCTTTGAAAGACTGGTGCTTGAGGGGTCGCCGGCTAGAAAGTCCAAGTTTGCCAAGCTCAACCTCAAAAGACTTTGCCCAGCTTTCACCATGCATGGTTCGGGCGCAGCCTGATTCCAAGATGGTTAACCCCGGTGGACCAGATGGAGTGGCAGTGAAGTTGAAGTCCAAGTCCAATCGATCGCCAGGATTTGGATCATCTTCAGTCATCAAAACTTCAAAGTCATGAACTTGAATCAGGTCAGGATGGCGATTGTCCAGGCACAAAGGAACTCGGATGCATCGATGGGCAATCATCTCATCCGGATGTTGGGGTCGCTTTGAAACTCTGGATTGAGTGGAGAAGCCTGCATCTGCCGTACAGGTAGAAGGCCAAACGAACATGGTCTGGCGTCATTGGCTGGTCCTTCAAGGCATATATCCAAGTATGAGTGCCAAACGCAGCTGCCTCAGGGCTTGAAGAGACGTGCTCAAACGTGTAGCCCGCATAGGGTGTCTAGGGCCGCATGGTGTTTGGTCACTTGGAAGTGGTTGGAGGGCATCTTGATCTTCCGTGGCCAACACAGGAAACTCAGGAAGGTCGACACCTGGTGCGATGTAGACCCCATAGTCGCAAAAACATGGCTTGCTGCTGGGTTTGAACAATCTTCGCGGTCTTGGGGCCAGGTGATGGCTCAGAGCCAGTGGTGGCAGGAGGACCACCCATGACTCCCCAAGTGACTGATGTCAGTGAGCCAGAAAGGCTTGCAGTGCAAGCAGCTCTTGATGGAGGTCTGTTCGGATAACCACGTGGTGGTTCAAGAGCGTTGCGTTGCGAATCTGTTCTTCTTGAAGTGCGGCATCTCGGACTCGACAAACACTTACTAAACGTTCACGAGAACGTGCAGCACTGCCGCATTGTGTGCAAAGCGCAATCTGAACAAGATAGCGCTGATCACCGTCTAGTCGCGCTCAGCAACCTTGCACGTGACATGTCTGGTATGTCCGTTGGCACCGCGGTGAAATTCACGTTCATCACCGCCAAAGTAAGAGCTGTGAGGACACAATTGGGTGTCTTTCAGTACCATCAGCACCTCAGCTGATGAATGCAAGGAATCTATGAAACTTGCCCCAGTCTTGTACTCGAAGATCTCGAAGGAGTCAGGAGCGGTCATCTCGTCGACGATGAAGAAAGCTGCACTGGTCGGGGCCAAAGGCATCTTGGCAACTGACGCAGTGGGCTCATCAGGATTGCCTCCACGCTCAAGTGCAGTCATGTCGGCATACTCAAAGGACTGCACATCGTCATGAAACATGTCATACACATTCGCTGGGATCAAGTCATACTTGGGAACCTGGGCATTCTGCGGAGACATGTCGAATTCAGGGAACTGGACATCCGTTGAAAAAGTGTCATAGTCAGGAAACTGGGCATTCGAGGGCGTGCTGTCATTCACAGGGACATAGGGCTCGACAACCTTGCGCTCAGCCACAAACGTGACATAGTTGCCAGCCGCATCAGCGGATTCCAAGGACTCATGGAGGACAAAGAAGGTGCTTTTCTTCTCAGAGCCAATCTTCTTCTTGGGCAAGTTGCTCTGCGACTTGCCCGTATTCTTGTTTGGACATGAGTCATCTCCAAACCAATGGCTCTTCTGCTTGTGACGCTCTTCAGAAACTTCACCGCATTGTTCCTCACGAGCTTTTTCATCAAATGAAATGTCACCTGAAGCCTTGACTGCTGGGACCCCGAAGAGCTGGAAGAGCCTTTGTCCTTGCCCTTGCCTTTGCCTTTCTTTCGATACTGCGTCACGGTGGCAAGTGCATCGGCAACCTCACTGTTCTCCTCATAGCCAAGGAAATCTTGAAGAAAGGAGTCCAATGCCTCATCCTCCAAAAAGGACTCAGCACCGTCATAGGTAGGGCCATCGTAGTGCTCCTCAGCCTCATAGTCAAGTTCTTCATGGTACGCCTCATCATCGTGCTCATAGGCATGGTCCTCCTCATCCACAGCCTCATAGACCTCGTCCACGTTGTAGGCTGCTGGGATCTGCCGCGACCACATCCACACTGCCGCCACTTAGGCTTGAAGAGGATGCCAGCGTCGCGACTTGGCTGTCGGCCACACCCCAAGTAGTCCTTCCGGAACACAGATCTGCCAGAAGCTTGAGGAAAATTGAATCCGCATAGCATTGGCCACCTTGTCGAAGTTGTAGTCATCGTTGACCGAGCTGAGAATGCTGATCTGCTCCTTGTTGTCCAAGCCACCAAAGATGAGAAGCATCATGGCACGCAAGTCTCGGGAGACCATGGTGTCCTTACTCATCTCTTCAAGACGCCTGAAATCCCGCTCCCTTCTCACCATGTATTGCTTCATGGATTCTTGAAGACGTCTCCATACTTGGGGGCTTTAAAAAGCAGCCAGAAACAACTCGTTGATCTTCACAGGTTCAACCGCAGCTATGGCCGTCTTCAGAGTTGAAAGGAAAAACTTCAGACCTTCGTCTGTTGGCTCACCTTTGTCATCCTTTGTTTTCACCTTTGAATGTTCTATTCTATTCTACGCACTGCTTCATATGCTGCTCCACTCAAACCAGCACGAAGGTGAACAGCTGTTGCTAGTTGAAGGGAAGTTTGACCTTCTCTCCCACAGGTCCCAAGCCCGTTCCTCATACTCCTCATATCTCCTCATAGAGCTCTGAATCACCGCTGTATTGCGGAACACAGTAGCGGTCCACATCCAACTTTGCCATGTTGATGTCCAGCTCGTAATGCAACGTAGATGCACCGGCCCAAAAGCGGGTGCAAAGAGACCAGCAGCCACCACCAGCTTCCAGCGCAAGTCAAGGCGCGGAGGAAGCGCTTCAGCAGCGCCAAGCGACGCCCCACACGGAGAGCCTCCGCTACCATCAGAATCCCGCTGACGGCGCAGCGGTCAGACGGCTCCTTTTCACAGCCAAAAAGGGCGCTCTGCGGACGTCAGATGATGGATGAGTGGACAATCACATGTGAATCAAATGGGGGCCATGATGTCACCATTGCTATACACCTTGGGAAATTCACACTTAGTGCTGGCAATGACATGTTCTTGACATGACAATATCATTTAGAATTTCATAATGCTATAATAAATTAATATGTGACTATAAAATAAAATGTTACAGTTAGTATGTGATGATATTTCAAGCTTGAGTAGTGCTTCTCCAACCTCATGCCTCGAGCCTTCGATCAATCAATGCCACGCAGCCGATTTGGCGGTGCAGTTTCGGCAAAGTAGGACACAATGGGTCCAAGTTCACCGCCTTTGCATGAATGGCTGAAAGCGGCTGAAAGCGGCTGAAAGCATCTCAGTTTTTTTGTGCTTCTTTGCGTTGCCTCCATTACTAATCCATTACTCTGCTTTGTCGTGCTGATTTCTTCAACATTCAATCAATGTCATTCAACTGCATCTTTCAACTTTCAATGGCCGAGAGGAAGCTGTATTGGCCAGGCCAACCACAAGGATACAACTCTGCGGTTTTTTACGTGTCTCTCGTTGCTGTGGGGTGCGAATCATGAATGGAAGCGCGGTCTCTCTAGAAGCCAAAAATCCACCACGCCTACGCTGAGTCCTTGCAAGGCTCGGAGGATCAAAAGCAGCACTAAGCCAACAGTGCCCCAGCTATCACCTCCAACACTCCAAGGCAAGAACGCTGAGAAACTGGCATGACATGGCAATGACCCAACTAGCCCTGTCCAAATCCCAGCATATCCAAGCATATCCCAGCAAATCATTGGAAATTCAGCCCTGGTGCCGCAGCAAATGAAAGTTGGTAACCTCAGAACAGGGACAACACAGTTTGGGACACACAGTTCGGGGCACTTTTTTTTGCAATGATGCCAGCACGACTAGCGGACTCTGAATCATGCAGCTTCGCAACAAGCCCTGTCCAAAAGTAGCCGTCAACATCCCAATGATGGACGTCAATACTGCGACCCGCCTGCGGGGAAGTTCATTCCGAGTCTAATTCCAAGTTCAGGGAACTGAAGTCAATAGCTTGACAAGCCGCAAGGGTGATACCAGGGGGGAAAGGTAGCGAAAATCGGTGTGCCTGCCATACCTGTCAGCCAGCCAACCTTGCCAGCGCGTGGTTGGGTTTGAAAATTCCCGTGACATTTGGCAGACAAAGCCGGCTGGTTGAAGGAAGCGGATTGAGGCAACGCATTCTCTGCCAAGCCACCATTGATAAGGCCACCAAAAGGTCTCAGTACAAAGGTCACAGCATAGCCAGCCCAGGCGGACACAGAGCTGGAATGGAAGAAGATGTCCTTCATGTTGGGTGCTAAGAAACCTGCATCCAGGTCAGGTGTGATGACAGCAACATGTTCTTGACATTTTCTTGGCCATTTTCCACCCGATCCCACAATTCAAACAGTACAATTTGATGATGCTCACGAACTGTGAATGCTTCAGGCAATGGATGACTGAGAGGGCAACTGTAAACACCAAAATCGTACCACTCCTCGGCTTATACGGACACAGACTGGGTAACTATTTTCTCGTTGGTGGCTGATTGTTGCAAGTGCAACACCTTGGTTTGCTTTACCACAGCCAAGTTTCCAGGACATTGCCCAACAAGAGCGGCCAGAATGTAACAAGGAGCTGGCACACTTTCGTCTTTTCATAGGTCTCCGGCTCCATGGGCTGGGCCATTTGCACTTCCAAACAGTTCTGGAGGTGATGTTCTGATTTGACAGCAGCTGCGTAAAAATCATTGCAACTGGGCAACCCTATCACGCTGCGTCAACAAACATCAACATAGCAGGGCGATGTCAGTTTGCAAACCTGAGGTCGTGGTTCAACCCCCAATATGGAACCTTTTACTTGCCACCCCGCTTTTATGCCAATTCCCTGCGACGATTGCGAGTTGGAGAATTGTCATTGTCGTCATCATTGTCGTTGTTGTTGTTGTTGTTGTCGTTGTCGTTGTTGCTGTTGCTGTTGTTGTTGTTGCTGTTGTTGTTTGGTAAAACCACTTTTTTTGCTGTCAACTGCCACGGGTTCAATTTTCCTTGTTCAAACTTATGACTTTGGGTTCATGTCTAAGTGTTGGCTGAAGTACATTGCAATTTCAGTTTCACGAGTACGTAACCATAGGAATAAAAACAATAATTCCAAAACGTGTGGTCACCAGAGCTGGTGCGAGACTGCATTGTCCTGGGCATGGGTTGCTGGGAAAAAACTGTCACGCGTCACACTGGCGCCCCCCTGTGGAACTGACACATTGTGGTTGCAACTGAATCCCGGTAAAATCAAAATCAGGACTACCCTTGATAGGATTGATGTTTGCCACGTGGAGGTTGGGGGTTCCTTTGGTGAAAGTGCTGCATGGTACAAACACGCACAAATATTTGGGCAGGTTGTGGAAGAACATTTAAAAAGGAGAATGGAAACTGGTAAAAGTTGGTTGTGTGTAAACACGTGCTGTGTGCACAAGTTTCTTTGTGCAATTTGTATCAGTGTAAAGACATCTGTGTGTAAATGCGTCTGTATGTAAAAAAATGTTGTGCGTAAAACCTTCTGTGCGTAAGACTTCTGTGCGGGGAATTTTCTGTGTAGGGAAACATGTGTAAAAATTGTTCTGCGCAAAGGTTTCTCTGTCGAAAAGGTTTTCTATGTGTAAAAACGCCTATGTGCCTCTATTTATGTGCGCGACAGCATCTTTGTACAAAGCATCTGAGTATAAAGATTTTTTTTTGCAAAAAAAAATGTGTGTTTCTGTGTGTGCAGGCGTCTGTGTACAAAAGTTTTTTGTGCACAAACCTCTCTGTGTAAGAATATCTGCGTGTAAAAGCTGCTCTGTGCAAAGGTTTCCACGGCCACAACGCCAAAAAAAATGAAACAAAAGAATCCAAAATCAAATGCTTGATGTCGTCACCGCTGTTGATGATGGCGATGATGCGCGCAGGGCCCAATAAGGCGTCACTTTAGCTGCCCCAAGTCAATTTTTGAAAGCCTTCGGAACAAATTACTTTGTTCGAGTGGCCCCCACCAAGTGACACTTCTTTGGACATATTTTTTGACATGCTATCTGGCATTCGCGTTTTATCTCAAATATTTTCTGCAAGTCTTTCCGGCATTATGATCAGGGTTCAGATAAGGGGGGAGGAGTTGCGCAGATGGTTTTGGTAGATACAAAGCGGAATGCATAGGGTGCACAACTACAAAATGCAGTGCATGTTACTTTTTTTGCAGCTACAAAATGAAGAACATAACTCTTTCTGTCTCGGAAAATAATTCAAAACCAGTACTACAAAATCCAATGCATCTGAAGTTAAAAAATAGTTGAACGTCGGAATTCCTAACATGATTTTTCCCAATGACATTTTGTAGTTGGGTCTTTGCCATCCAAAGTTCCGACCAACATGAATTCGGAGAACATTTTGTAGTTGTCAATGATTGAATTTAGTTGGATCAAGTGTTGACACCGTGCAGTTTGTTAGATGGCATTCTGTAGCTACAAAATGCAAATGAGATTTTATGTTGGATGCTTCAACTATTCAACTTGTACAACTACAGAATGCTAATGAGATTTTATGTTGGATGCTTCAACTAACTCAACATATACAACTACAAAATGAAAATGATGATTTGAAAGGAATCGGAATCAACTACAAAATGATTCCAAATACAAAATGGGGGGCACAACCCCTCCTGTTTGTACAAAAAAATCCTGCTGGCAATCTGTACTGTAGCACAAGTCCTCCCCATTTCGTAGCTGAAATTTGAAGGTGGGTGCATTATGTTCATCTCAGCCAGCCAGGGGCTGGAAATCATATTTTTCTAGTTTTTCATTTTTTTCATTTTGATCATCATTTTTTGAATTGAAAATTATCATTCCCTTTTTATCCCCGTTAAGTTATTTCATTTTTTTAATCCTGTTTTTCCTCCCTTTGGCATTTTCATTGTTTTTCCTTTGCTTCGAAAATGGTCTTGGGAATTGCCACCAGGATTTTTGTTCTCGAACCCTTTTCGTTTCTTTTCATTTGGTTTCGTTTCCGTATTGTTTTGGTTATTTTTCCTTCTTTTTCCTTGAAAATTATCAAAAAGAGTTTTTTCTCGAACCCTTTTGGGTTTTTTTTCGTTGTGTTTTCGTTTTTGTGTTGGTTATGTTTCCTTCCTTTGCCTTGAAAATTATCCATTGTCAAAGGGGTTTTTGTTCTCGAATCCTTTTCGTTTTTGTTTTTTTTCGTTTTGGCTAATTGTTCCTCCTTTGCCTTCAAAATTGACGTCGGAAATTGTCACAAGACGTTTTTTCTCGAACCCTTTTCGTTGTTTATCGTTGTTTTTTCGTGTTTTTCCGTGTTGTTTTTCATTTTTGTTTTTTTTCCGTTTTTTTTCGTTCTTTTCATGTTTTCATGTGCGTTTTCATTTTCGAGTTGTTCGTTTTGAACCATTTCATTTTTCATTCTCATTTCCTTTTTGCGTTTCCTTTTTTTCATTTTTCATTTTCATTTTTTTGCCTGTGTGTTTTCATTTTCGTTTTTGTTTTCTTTTTTTGGTGGTTTAAGGTGTATGTTTGCTTTCTTTTTTTCATGTGTGCTGACGTTTCTTTTTAGTTTTCATTTAATTTTTCAAATGGTATAAATATATCTTATCTTATCTTTTCCGTTTCTGATTTTGCTTCGGTTCACTTAATGACAAGTACATGATGGCAAAATGCAAAAAAGGAACAAGTATGAAGGGATAATTAATTGATATTAACTGCACATGAGGGAAACACGATACACAAATGAGAATGACACTTGCACATGATTGGAGAATAAAAAATGAGAATGACAATTTCACATGGTCGGAGAACGATATGATACAGGAAGAAACATGAAAAACAAAACGAAAAAATGAAAAATCATTAATAATTCCTTGGTCCGGACTCAGTCTGTGGCTGTAAGATTCTCATAATTCTGGCATTCTACCTGGTATATCTTCGGGGATTCTTTGCGGTTCAGATCTGGCGGGCAACACGCTGATCATAATTTTTAATGTTTTTGTTGTTGGTGTTGTTGTTGTTGCTGTTGCTCTTGCTGTTGCTCTTACTCTTGCTGTTGCTCTTACTCTTGCTGTTGCTCTTGCTGTTGCTCTTGCTGTTGTTTTTGCTCTTGCTGTTGTTATTGCTGCTGTTGTTCTTGCTGTTGGTGCTCTTGCTGTTGTTGCTCTTGCTGTTGTTGCTCTTGTTCTTGTTGTTGTTGTTGTTGTTGTTGTTGTTGCTGTTGCTGTTGCTGTTGCTGATGTTGTTGTTGCTGTTGCTGTTGCTGTTGTTGCTGTTGCTGTTGTTCTTGCTATTGCTGTTGCTCTTGCTGCTGTTGCTCTTGCTGTTGTTGCTGTTGCTGTTGCTGTTGTTTCTGTTGCTGTTGTTGCTGTTGTTGTTGTTGTTGCTGCTTTTGTTGTTTTTTGTTCTTGTTGTTGTTCTTGTTGTTGTTCTTGTTGTTCTTGCTGTTTGTGCTGTTCTTGCTGTTCTTGCTGTTCTTGTTGTTCTTGTTGTTCTTGTTGTTCTTGTTGTTTTTGTTGTTTTTGTTGTTCTTGTTGTTCTTGTTGTTCTTGCTGTTGCCGCTGTTGCCGCTGTTGCCGTTGTTGCCCGTGCAGGTTTTTTCTCCGTCCTGAAGTGGACAAAAATCGTCAAATACGTTGTGTTTTCACGTTTGTTGAAGCTGGGAGCAAGAGAACGTTGCAAATTCTGATGTTTTTTGTGCCTCGGAATCCCAAAACCACGGTATTTACACCCCTACCCTGATAGGGGGAGAGGGCGGAGGGGGACAAAACCAACCTGTCGAATTCCATTTTTTTACTTGGGAACCCTGGGATAGTGATCCAACCCCTCAAAGAGAAGTTTAAAGTGACATTTCTTAACAAACCCTCGGCACTGGTTAGAAAATACTTACGCTTAGCTCCTCCTCCGGAGCTAAGCGTGGAATGATGACGGCAGCGCAATTTTTGGAGGGATGCCAACCCTACACGTGTGTTGTTTCAGTCTGACATGTGGACGAGCTAAGCGCAAGTATTTAATTTTTATCTGCTTGCCAATGACATGGAATGATGAGGAATATTAATCATTGAGAAAACATGATTGCAAGAATTGGTTTTTAACATCCAATTTCAATACGACTCCCCCCCTCAATTTGTTTAAACGAGGGAAAGGATGTATTGACGATTCTTTTTGCCTCTGGCAACGGATTTTACAATATTTGTTTGGTGAATGCAAAGCAAAAACACTGGTATTTACACAGTTTCAATTTTCTTTTTTTCCTTTCGCCCGTCCGAGTCAAGTCATGACTACGGCCCTTTCAGGACACAGGACAAACCAGCAAGCTACCACGAAAACTGTTCACCCCAAAATTGTACAAATTTATTTTCTAAAGGAAGCCAGGTCACAGAGTCACGAGCATGTTGGAACCAAACTGTATCACCATAGCAATGTTTACAAAATTTCTGAAGCATTTCGTCCCATGTTTGCCGTAGGAGTCGCTCACCAAAGTCCAAATCACTTGCCCGAGGTCCATATTGCCATCCTTCTTGGCGCCGAATTGCTGCAGAATGCTTCTGCGTGCGTCAGCAAGCGCAACGTTTTGACCAAGGGACCCGTCAAGCCCCACCCTGGCCAGTGGCCCGCTACCTGTGCTTTGGGACAAGCTGCTGCTCTGCGAAGCAGGCCCCGTGCTTGCCATGGCAGGGGGTGAAAGTAGCAGCAGCAGCCGGGAGGGCCTACAAATAGCTTGAGAAGTAAAAGAAGAAGCCGGTTGGCGACATCTCTCACTGAAGTCTCAACCACGTCTAATATAGATTAGATGTCCTCAAACAAATTGCGTCTAAACAGCCTTAACAATCCAACCCAATATCTACACCTGACAGAAACGCTGAGGAAAGCGGCAGGTTTCCAACACCAAAGAGCAGTCCTGTCCATGGACTGTTGAAGAAAGCGAGGAGCTGCTGCAAGGATTTGCGTCTCCTCCCCTCACCGTGGCCCTCGTCTTCATCGACTTCGTCTAGAAAGGCAGAGCACAGCGTCACTAATTTGCGGGCGCAACTCTGCCACACAACCAGCCTGTCAGACAAAACTTTCGACACTTGGCGCCGCAAGCTGGCCAGACATCCTCTCTTGTTCATGACCTTGGAAATGCAAAAGCATCCTCCTAGATTGCCCAATAGCTTCGTGAGTTGTTCGACCACGTTGCCAGCCCTGTGTTGTGCGCAAAGGATTGGCAAGAGCAAGTGGTGCTGCGGAAGCAAATCTTCTAGATGGCGTAACAAGCGTTGGTTGGCTGCGTGCGCATCCACTTTTTCCATGCGCTCTTGCCTTGCAGCTTCTGTCTGCTGAGGTTATTCCTGAGGCTCGGGAGAAGAAAGTCTCCTGTTCGTCCTCGGCCACTCTCGTTGATATAGGAACCCTGCATATCTAAAGTTTTTTCCTTCCTTTTCAAGGCTCTAGTCTTCCAGGCCTGCCTTTGACTCCGCCCATTCTGCCTAGGTCGTGGTCCTGGCCTGTGAACTGCAATCATGCGTCCTGGCCCTGGCAAGTTGCCACCGACGTCACCGTCTACATGGTCGGGAACCTCATGACCCAGGTCTGCAAGAATGGCCAAGGCTTGGTCCATAGAGGTGACAGGGAAACGAATAGCTTGAATAGCAAGTGTTGGAGGCACACAGGCACATTGAGCCCAGAACTGTTTCCAAAGCGGGATAGTTACATTCAACGGCGCAGAGATCTCAACAGTGCTAAACCACCTGTGAAGGACCAGCACATTCTTTTCACCCGGGATACCTGCATACACCCTGCAACCTTCAATAGACATGATCTGCTGGAATCGAAGATCTCGGGATATTTCACAAGGTTTTTTGAAAATTTTATGATTCTTGAAAATTATATTACTTTAATGATTCTTGTTGGTTTTATATTTTTTGGTTTGGTAATACAATCAAAATTGTGGAATTCTATGGTTTTTGTTTTTTGGGATCGTCTGATTTCTTAATTCTCACGTTTTTGCAACTGGTCCTGCACAAGCTGCCTTAAACACGTCCAAGCGGAATGGCTTTGAATCGAAATTGCAGCGCCAGATGTCAAGGCGGTCCCAAAGCGTCGCGAATCCAGGCCAACTGTTTGAACTAGTTATACGTGTGGCAAAACGAAACTGGCGTTTGAATAAGGCATCAAACCATCTGCTAACAGGAAAAATGTCTAAAGCATCTTTCACTTTATCGTTCATTCTGCGCATGGTGTCCCTCCAATCGTTGCCATCCACGCCTACCCAACCAACAACTGCACGAAGCACCCGGCGTTGCACAACATTCACCCCTTGAACCTGCGATGGAATCAAGGGTGAGGAGGCCAAACCAAACAACACAACTGGAGAAATCATAGCATCGAAATATTTCAGTCGCAACTTTAAGGAAACATGACATGACGGTTGTGTGATGGCAACCAGTTTTGGGGGTTTGACCAAAGTGCGACACACCTCTTACAGCGCATCGCTTGAGCCATTCGGCAGTCGTGCGGGCCGATGGCGACGAATTACTTCCCAATGAGTTTGAGTCCCAAATGTCATGCGTCCATGTCCATCGTGATTTCATCCTTGCTTTCACACTCATTATGTTTTGTTGGGATCAAACTCACCGAGCCGCCACTCATCAGTAAATTCAAGCCGGCGGCGTGCTTCATCCCTTTGGTCAGGGGGTCAGCCAGCATCCTATCTGTCGTCGTCCAATGGAGAGCTGTTGTAGCTCCAGCAGGCACACGATCCGTGATCAAAGGATCGCCGTAGGCTTCTCCTTTCTTCCTCCATACCTGCTGACGAATGCCGCTGAGATCGATGGCCAGTCGCTTGTCCGTGACGACATGTAGGCCACTCTGGTTCACGTGCTGGAACAGCGACCTGCAGTCTGTGAACCAATCCACGTCGATCTCGTCCATGGCATCGGTCGTCCAATTGGCTCGATGATGATTCGGGCCCTTGATGCTGTAGAGGACGAAACGTAGATGATCAGCCTCCTCGCTCCCCAAGAGGAGACTTAATGTCTCTGCCTGCAGCGTGGAGCGGCACACACATGTTTCACCACCGTGCTGTGCCATTCAAGGAGCATCAGAACTCCTTCTTTCTTCTCCTTGAAGTCCTTTGAAGCAAGGCACAGCAATCTGCCCGATTGGTTCCTGTGCCCCAACTTCGCTCCACTTTCGCTCACGTCGAAGTCGGCTGCATGCGAGGCATCCTGGATGGCGATGATTGCCCTTGTTGGGGTCACGCTTGGCCAGCTCCACAATCTTGTTGGCATACTTCACGTCGTTGATGTTGGCAGTGTGCACGGAAGACTGGAGCTTGCACACTGCGTAGGAAAGATCCGGCCTGCAAACTCTTGCAAGCCATGCCAAGCTCCCAATCACGCCGCGCAATTGGCCACGCAGCTTCTCACTCACGGGCATGTCTGGTTTTTTCTTCCCCTCGGGCGTTAGATGAATCATTCTCACTCGATCCATCAGGCTTGGGCACGTGATGTGCGCTCCTCTCTCATCCTTCAGCACCTCACGTCCACAGTAGGCGAACTTGTTGACAGAGACCTTGCCAAAGTTGTACTTGGCCTGGATAGCGTCCATCTTCTTCTCGATGTAGCCTCCTCCTGTCCATAGTAGATCGTCCACGTGGACGGTGACCAATCCAGCCAAGCTCCCATCAGGAGGGTGAAGGACGTAGGCTGCCGGTTCGTAGGGCAGCGGCATGAAGTCCTCAATCTTCATGGTTGGGTCCAGATTCTTGTACCATCCTCTTGGTGCGTCCTTGGTCCCATAGGCAGCGCTGCTGACCAGGTAGAACATCTCCTCCTCATCCATAGTGACATAGTGACATGTCCTAAGACACGGGCTGGTCCATACCATCAACCTCGACGAAGGAATGAGACCAAATCGCCCACGGCATAGGGGCCACGCAGTGGCACGCTCCTGCGAAACATAGCTTTGCGAATCCTCTGAGAGGCATCCGTCTTGATGTAGGCCTCCTTGGCAAATTGTCTCATCAGCACTTGACGTTGAAAAACATCCTGAGCTCCGTCCTCTGCGTCAGCAACTGCCTGGTGTACTCCAAGTTGCTCCTCAGGATCTCCATCAATCAGGCTTAGTCCGACCAACCAGGCCATGTTTCCAGCAGAAGTTCAACTTTGAGGTGAGCCTGGACGTGTTTGAGGCGCATGACCGTCCAGGAGGGCGTCATGCAGTGCTGAGCATGGTCGACACCTCCAACAAGTTTCATGTTGGGAACTCCCAAAGCAAGACATGTGCAGAAACCATCAATGTCTCATGGTTTGCATTGGCCGGTTCACCCAAACACATTGTGGTGGATCAAGGAGTTCACAACAAAGGACGCGTGATTCAACTTCTTCAGAGCAACGGCGTCAACATCAGGCAAGTTGGGGTAGCTGTCCCATATCAACAGGGCACAGGAGAACGTCATGGTGGTACATTCAGCTGACATTTCAGCTCTGATCTCAGAGTGTGCCCGCATCAAGAACCACCTGTGCAACCAGAACGGTTATGCTCCGGTGCAATGGGTACTAGGGTACCTTCCAGTTGACAATGCACCGCAGGACCCTTCTCCTTCTCAGTCTCCTGGCACGTCTGGCACTGAAAGTGCTTGGCCGCCTTCACGACGTCCGAGTCCGATGCTGAAGATCGCAGCATCCGTACCAGTGCTGAATTGCTGCAGTGTCCTGTCATGGTGTGCAACCTCCTCACTGCCAATCTCTTTGCTCTCGGCAGTTTCAGCCATTCTTAGCGTCTCTTCCTCTCTTAATCCATGACCATGTCCTCAACCTCGATGGGGACATTCTCCTCAAGATCCTCTGTCCTCACGTTCTCATCCTCATCGTGTAAGCGTCGTCGCTCCACAACGAGTCCAAGATCATCCTCATCATAAACTCCATCCATAGGGCCTGCCTCCTCGTGCTCCTCGGCCTCGTGCTCTGCAGCGAAGGGAATCTTTGTAGGGCCATAGACGATCTCGTCATAGAGACCTCCAGCCATCTGTTGGCATAGCTCCTCAGGCCATTGTTGAGATCGCTTGGAACGTCCTCCTCCGACCAATGATGGGTTCATGTTGTTGATTTTGAGGGCAATCCTTTTTGAGTCGAAGCCTCATGAGCTCGGAAGACAGCAAAAGTTCTGTGCCCTTTTGTTGAGGTAGTCCAGTGATGTGTGGTCATTGAGGCCATACTGACATTGATCCAGTCGCTGAAGCTCCAAGCTCGCCGGTAAAGTTGTTGCAAGGCGCTTCTTCCAGTAGCTCCAGCATGCACTTCAGCGTCCATATCTTGGATGGCCAGGGGTTTTCCAGCAAGACTTCTCGTCCGTTGCTGGGCCTCTTCTTGATCAGATCCGTCAACCACTTCACCACCGGATACCATTGCTGTCGTAGGTTGTAGAAGTTGTCCGCATACTCTTCTCTCATCTCGTTCAGATTCTGAAGTGGGCTCGATGGTCCGCACACTGGGGCCATGCTCAAAAGGAGTGGATCCTCAACCTCAATGCGGCTCTCCACCATGCGGCGCACTTCAGGTCGAAGTAGATCGTAATTGTCATTGTCCATGATGTCGATGGGCTCGGCCACTGGCAGTCCTAGTGTTGCCACCATCAGTGAAAGCGCAGCTGCTCCACTGAACAACTCCATCAAAGCAACACCACAGCCTCTGGGCAGAGGACGTCCTGGGTTCTTTGTAGTTGGATTTTTCTCTCAAAGTAGTCCACATAGCCTGATCCTCCTTCTCAAGCTCCTCAATCGTGTCTCCCTAGCATTTTCTTCTGTCCTTTGGTCAGCTGCTTCAGTGAGCCGTCATCCAGTTTGATCTAGCCCATGGTGTCCTCCTCCTCCTCCTCCTCGGTCTTGGCCTTGTCGACGACCACGCTCACTTCGTCCTCAATTTCCTCCTCTGATGTATTGCACTGCTCAGTTCGTAGTGCAATGGCGTCTCCTCCATGATCTCCAGGGAGTAGACGAATTCCAGGAAGTCCATCTCTGTCGACAATCTCCAAGTGCTGCTTCATCATCTTGCTGTAGACCTTGCGCTCACTCATGTCGATCATCAAACCAAGTGCTTTCTGGGCCTTGGCTGAAAGCAGCAGTGGTGCATGGTTTCCTTCCAGTTCTGTTGATGTGATAACCCCCTGTGCCTCCGATCCATCCTAAAGACCGAAGGTCACAGGGATCGTCCTCAAACCTTTCACCTTGATCTTGCCACCAACGCCCTTGAACTTGCCGTTGCTGGGTTCCAAGGGTATGTCCATTCCGGTCGCCCTCTGATACTCCTCCATCCATTGCGATCCATGGCAAATCAAGTTGCAGCCAGTGTCGATGACTGCAACCATGCAATCCTCCTCAATCTCGTCCTTCTCGACCGTCATGAACGCCCTTGAAAGATGTCGGTGGTCGGTTGTGCGCGTACTGCGCCAGCTCCTTGAGCGAATTGCATGCAGATGAACTTGCAGTACTGGTTGTCCTTGATGCAGACCCATTCAAAGGTCTTTCACCCGTGGTTTACATGTTTAATCATGTTTACATGTGGGTTCCAGGTTTGTCATGGTTGCCCGCACTTCTCGCCACAAAGAATCCAAAAATGTACTGTTGACCAAAAAGAAAGGCAACAAGTTCAGCAAAGGATGTTGGGTTGCGACACCTGTTTTGAACGGTCATTGACGGGCCCTGGTTGTTTCTACGAACGGCAATGGACGGTTCAGGACTTAGGTCACTGGCAAGTAAAACCTTGAACGGTTCAGAACGGTTCATGAACTATCTGCTCTTGTACCCACATGTCCTCATGAACGTCCATGACGGCTCAGGGAATTGGATTTGAACGGCCGATGACGGTTCACAGAATTTGGTTCTATCAGTTGCTAAGCCCGTGTTTGGCTTAAGACTGGTGGGGGGGGGGTCCGGAGGGGGGGGGGGGGGGCACGGCAAGGGGCTAAAATTTCAAAAATAGGGGCTCAAATTTAAGGAAATAGGGGTTTTTTTGAAGAAACCGGGTCGGGATCCAGTCGGGACCCAGTCGGGACCCAGTCGGGACCCAGTCGGGACCCAATCGGGCACCAATTTTTGCATTTTTGGGCACCGCTTTTGGCCAGTCGGGATCCAGTCGGGATCCAGTCGGGATCCAGTCGGGCACCAATTTTCGAATTTTTGGCACCACGTTTGGACCTGTCGGGAAGCAGCCAAAATCACCGAAAAACATGCAAAAACACTGCAAAAATGCTATTTTTTATTGTGAATGGGTTGTACCCTTTCTGTCTGAATGTACTTGCCCTTGGGATTGGTCGTGCCTATGCTGATCTTCCGAACCACTGAGCGATGCGAGCAACGGCTTTTTCCATTCGTGTTGGACCGATGCTTGTCTTGAGCCAAGAGCCACGGGCGAAATGGATTGGTGGCTCTCGGGCATCAATGAATTAGGAACACCGCTGATCTCTCACCTACTGTACTTTCACACCCCCCATGTCCAACGCTCTCCGACCACGTCGACGAACGTTGATCGGGGCATTGGACACAGGAGTTTAAACAGTTCAAAGACAGTCAAAGATGTCCTAACTATGTTCGAATTATGCTCCCTTTACACGTAGCCAAAAGTTGTAAGCCGCTGACCTACTTCATCCGAGGATTGTGTACTCCCGGACGGCGACGCCCGTACCGGTTTCCACGCACCTACCGAATCAGGTCCTAGGTTCTTACGCCCTTTAAAAGTGTTCCCTTGCATCAGGAAATCTTCGCGTCCTGAATGCATGAGACTCATACGAATTAGCCCGGCACTCAGAATCCTCTCATAAGACCTCTTCATTGACATAGATCTAGAGGAACTCATCTTTTGCGCCGCTTCTTGCCAGTGTCGGTCTCCTTGGTGCTCGCCGAAGCCTGTTCTTCTGCGGGTTGTTCATCACCAAGTGCTCGAACATATTGCCTGGCAATTTCACGTTCTGCAGGATCAAGAGATCTGAGACATGTAGCCATCTGTGCTGCGCTCTGTTGTACAGCTTTGAGCTTTCCTTGCCAAACTTTACGTAGTTGCTGGGGTAGCTCCAGGCCGATCTTGTTGAGCGTCACGAGGATGGTAAATGTTCTACATCTTTCCGTCACTGCACATGCTAGATCAATATGAACATGATCGTCCCGTCGAGGTGGTGTGACTCGAAAATAGTCGTAGGAACGTACGGCAAAGGCACCGGAGATAATCTTCCTGACAAAGTCAGATGATTCCCGTCGTGCTTCTGCTTGCCGTTCGTCGTCCTCGTCCGTGTTGTCGGCAACCTTGGAGAAGATGAGTTGAGGGGTGATGCCAATCTGGATCAAGTACCTCATAATCTTGCAAAGCACTCGAATACCATTCACTCCCTTCAAATAGGTTTCCAAATCACGCCCGCCGATCTTCCCATTCTTGGCATTCGCATGGAATGAAGCGATCAGCTGTGCTTCTGTTGGTTCTTTCAATTCACCATCTGCAGTTTCGCCCACGTATGGAATGTATCCGTCAAATTCAGGAATAAGCTTGAGTCTCATCACGTGGTCATGATACTGCTGTGCTGGCGCCACTGAGGTCCATAGATGAAATAGTCGATATCGATCTTTAAGGTAGCTCAGAATCATGCAGTCCATCGCACGAGCTGTGCTGTCGATGGCGTCCTCATTCTGGGCTATGTCGATACATTGGATGAGTGAAGCTTGGATGATCCTCGTTGTCCACATAGGCAACCGCATCCTTGCTTCTCGACGCTCTTCATCTTGGTCTTGTTCTTTGGCAACCTTCTCATCTTCTTCTTCTTGTTGCTCTTTGGTGTTGTCACCGAATACAACTTTC